ATATCCAGTACCTATACATACTCTATTGTTAAATTGCTTAACTGACAATCAAAAGGTCACCAAAGTCCAATCCCGGTTGTGGATTTACATCGCCTGTCACCCCCCCCCCTCTAGGGTTGATAACACGAGCAACTCCGAGAAGTGAACATCTGTCATCCTATAGGAAGACCCTCTCTAAGGGAACTTTGAATTTCCACAGCTGGTTGAGAGTCAACAATGAAGGAAATAAATGTCCCAAATGCTCATTGCAGATGAGTAATTTTCACATTTGACTTGAATATCAAAAACATGTTTTTCTGCAAAGGTATTTACCCCACCCTCCCCCACTTTCACAAACACTTAGGACAATTTACATTTTGTGAATTAACTATTGTATAAAAGCTAGTTGCTTTCATTCATAATGGGAGCACTGGTTATATTGAAGGTAATTTACTACTACAAATGTTTTAATGTGTAAAATTTATTTAACGAAAATAACAGAGCTGTAGCTGTGTGATTAAGGAGAGCTTTGCTTGAATGTGACATTACCGTTCAGAATGTAATTTTATGTAATACACCATGATGAACCGGAATAGTTTAAGGAATAATTTAAGTAATGTTTTGGAAATGTTATCAAGTTATCAGTGTTCGAAATCTGAAAAATGGTATTTGAGAGGCAGTGAAACCCAATTCTCTCTTTCCTCCCCTCTCATTTTAAAAACCAATTATGCAAAACTCTTGTAGTGAAAGCGATTAAAATAAACATACCTGACACCATAAATAATGCACATCAACTCTTCAGCTAAGGCAGGAAAGTTGTATTAAATATTAAGGGGGCTTTTTCAGGCTTATTATATGCATGGCAAATCACAAAACAGACAAATAACAAAAAATGTGTTATTAATAAAGTTGACTTGTAAAGTACAATTGAATAGTAATACAGCATTATACATTTGTACATTATTTATGGCAACAAACGGAAAGGTCTAATAATTGTGATAACACCCTGTAAATATCGCTGCCATTATATAATCGGAAAATAACGTTTGTGCCATTTTGTGGTGCTTAGCTAACGCCGTGTGACAAAAGACAAATGATTAAGGTGGAATAAAAAATAACGCTGTTTTGGCTAAACATGTACCTCTATGAATAAAACAAGCGGAGGATAAAATAACCTTGGCCTATGCTGATTAAAAACAATTCGCTTTGTTGCCTGTCCAAGGACGGGTGTATATTGCAGTAAAACTGAAATATTCAATAAAAAAATTGTTCAGCTCACGAGTATTGAGGGGGAGGGTTGCCCCGTGTGGAGTGACGTCACTCGCTAACGGTTATTGGGGAGGGGTGCGGCATGTGGAGTGCGCGACCTTCTTGTGCGGTATGAATATTAATAAAGGGGGGGCCTCTTCTGCAGTGACGTCACGCACGGATATAGCACTGTGCTGCCGCACTGCGCTGCGTAGATTTATTTTCTACCGTCACTTTCTGTAAAGAAAAGTCATATTTTAAGCGACTTTGCGTAATAATTTAATTCGGATCTACCTTCCTCTGCGTCCGTGTAAAAATCCACCCACTCATGAATATTATGAGGGGGGGGGGGGCCTCATGTGGAGTGACGTCACGCGGGGGGGGGGCCTCATGTGGAGTGACGTCACACGCAGGACGGACAGACATTTCTGGGTGATTATATTAAAAACAATGAGCAACAACTGCCACTGAAATGTCACTCAAGCATAAATGTCAGACCATATCATAGATTTTATGCAACTCTTTTGGTATAGCCGTTTCACAAACTTTTGAATGTCATTCATGTCATATTGCATTAAAACTCGCATGCTGATGGCACACAATTATAGCAACTTTCAACATAAAACACCAGCTACTCAATTGCAGCCGAGTCATCCCTGTGAGCGGCCCTGCCAAGGTGCAGAATCGAACGTTGTTTCCCACCCCTACTGGAGATCTGTGAAGAAGAGCTTGATAGCGCATCGGATTCCTCCAGCACGAATAAATATTCTGTTTCTGAATTGAAACTCGTGTGCTTCCGTAATGAATTGAACTCTGACCAGAGTAAAGTTTAGTTTTATGATTTTGTCATTCTTTCGTATGGCTGATGCAGGGCAACAACTATAATTTCACATTCAAGTGGTCAAGCCAGACAACCGCGGTCATGGTTCTATCGTGCACTCTTACACTTTCAACAAACTCCCATTTTTCTGCTTTCATACTCCTATTGCTTGGTCACGTCTTTCCCGATTATTTTCCCTAAGTTTAGGTAGTCGTGTATTCTATTTGTTTACATTTTCCTCATCAGAGTCGCAGACATATACTTGGAGGCAACACATATATTTAACTCCAACACGAAAGGGTAACTTTCCCTTAACAGAATAACAACCTATAGTGGTGACCACCAGGCTAACTACACTAGTTGCAACGTAACTGCTACTACGGACCGGGACCACAGCTCGGGTCCAGGTCCACGTGTTGGAGACTCGTTGATCGGAGAACGTAGATGAAAGGTTCTTCAGGATGAACAATAACACCGGTCCCTCTGGGGAACTAGCTTATATTCTCTGCGGCGTGGCCGGCTCCGCCCTTGGCCACGACCACCTGCCAGAATCCTCGGGAAGAATCTGGATGCTAACCACGTGACCAACCCGAGCCCCCACTTGGGCCCCTTTGTATACTAATGTTGAAGTGCAACTCGCATCCCCTGGGATAGCTTCTCCTGTGTGAATATTCTGCGTGGAAATATGAATCCATTACAATACAAATGTTTAAGTCATTATTTGCATTCCTCGTCTATTTCCAATACTTTCTATTTTTAAGGCGATCATCATCTCCGTGCCTATTCTAGCTACGAGCTTGCAGATTCTCTCACCTCGCTATAACACACCAAATAATCTTCTCATGTGCTCTTTTTACATACCTTTCAATAATCCACCCATTAGCACGGTTGGCTATGTATGGTGCACGAAAGGAGTTCAATATACACACATACGCGATGTTGTCGTGTGTTACCCCGATTTAGAAGTTTGTTAATTTCCTTGCCGATTTTTTAAATTCATATTTGTGTTCAGGGATGTTGGGATGGGAGCTGAAAAAGCAGGGATCGAACCGTTCTATTGCACTCGGCCACCGCACCTTGAGGCCACCCATCTGCTCGTAAATCATCCACTGGCGCAAACAAGCTAATTCGAGCAACATTCAGGCCGGCTACAACATATATTCTTTCATTATTTATTCACAGTTACTACTTTCTGTATATTGAACCCGAGGCTACGATTTTGATATATATGGAAAGGCGTGTATTTTTACAAGCATCGGTTCTATATTGGGAAAGCAACAGGACGCCTTGTGCGGCAAAGAAAAGAATATAAAATGCATTGCGACTCGGCCACTTCTGCATAACGTAGGGGTGGCGGAAAAGCAGAGGGGCTGTATTTTGATGCCGTGTTTGGCCCCTTGAGTGCAGTGAAGGGACAATGATAGGCATGGAATAAAAATGGAGAAGATTGCATTCACTCTCTTGGAACCAGATTCTCAATTCAAAATTTGCAAGCAGGGTTCAGTAAGTTGTATATTTTGAACTGCGAGCACGACTAAAAAATGGGTAGTTTTGATTTGTTTTCCCCCCCCCCCCAAATTGTACCAATATGCTACAAAGTTGAACTGCAGGGCATTATTGGTGTTTAGTTTTCAACCAAAATCATTCATCCTAACCATTACCATATTGTTCCAAACTTTATGCATACTCTGAAAATTACCTGCTTATATAGGTCTTCTAGAGTACCATGTTAACCTATGGCTATTGGAGCAAGTCCTGCTAACAAATACATATTCAGGTTGATATGACCAAGCTGATGCCAGTGCCACAGAGGACTCCCTTGTCTGTCTGGTGATCGACCGGATCACACCAGGTAATTGCTTTAGGCAGCCAACCTAGACAAAGACCTGCCAAAGGACCGGATACACATGGCCAGTAATGCACATGTGGTCGTCAACTGGATTTGGGTCATGAGGATTTTAGGGCAGTGTGAGTACTACTACCAGGCCATGGTCGGGGGACTGGATACAGAGAAAAGGGCACAGTGCAAATCACCGTATGTAGGACTGCTGTGGTGCAGCGATCACAGGCTCGCTCTCTAGTAACCTCTCATTACACAGCATGCTACTTGTGCTTCAAACAAATCCGCAAGGACGGTGGTAAGAGTTGTGTCTTACATGTACAGCAAGGAGAGTACCCGGGGCAATTACAAAAAAAGATTAAAGTAAAGATGGATTGAATAAGGCTGGCTAAGTGCCAAGTTTAAGTAGGCTCATATGCTTGGGCCAATAATATTAAAAGTACCATGAGCCATTACAATGTGTTTTTTTTTAAACAAGTACTTTTTATTTCTCAACAATGCTGCCAATTTAGCCAGTGAACCTGGCCAATTCTTCACTTACACAAATTGTTTCGGTGAAATAATTGTGATGGTTAAATGAAGGCAGGGTGATTGTTAAATTCAGTTAAATTGTCTTGTGTCATAGAGAATTAAGGGTCACTTACTTCTTTGTTTGTTAAAATTGAGGTATTATTCTGTTTAGGATATATATGCAGTCATTTTAGAGAAGACACCTTGACCATGAAGAACAGCAGCACAGTTAAAAAAAAAATCTTTGAACCTTCCATCATTATCCTAAAAAAAAAATCATACAACTGAATGTTTTAAATCTAAATTGCAGGTTTGCTTTATATGAATATTTAACAAACTGTGAATAGGTTAACCTGCTTTATACAATACACACATTTGTAATGCCACATATTTACGTGTTCAGAAAAAGCACAACATAAACAAGAAAAATGATGCATCTTACCTTTAAAAAAAAGAATGCAAAAATGTCACAATCTTTGCGTGATGACCACAATTAACTTTTTTTCCAAAAGACAAGCTGGGCTACGTGACAAGTGTGTGCGTGCTTCAAAGCCGAGGAATCACATGTAGGTAATGGTACATGCAGCACGTGACAATACCCACTCATTAAACTGGAGTTGAGAAACGCTGAAGGCATGCCGTCGTGAGAGCCCATTCCTCTGTCGCCCATGTGGTCATTGTATTGGGGGCTGTGGTTATATCCCTGTAAACAACAAGATCCCATCACACGTCCATCAGTACACATCAAAGCATCGCACTCGCAACAAATAAACTTGTTTTTTATCATTATTAGCTACGGGGTGCGCTCCAAATCCCAAAATATATTGCTAAACAGAAAACAAGATGGATTGTTAAATATAAAACAATGTCCAGGTATAGTTTACCACAGACTTTCACGACCGATATCATCTATAATACATGTGTTTTGGTTTAGAGCGCATACTTACGTGATCTAACCCATAAAAACACGTATTATGAATGTGCATGCATGTATAACGTTGGCTTTAACACCTTAAAAAAACACATGCAGTGCTTGAGACATTTATGCAAAGGTCTAGTTGTACAGTTGCAACTTCACAAAAACTGCAAAGCACAACAAACTCTACAGCCTATGGAAACAGCACCAACATGGTTATGGAAAGATTAAACAGACGTTGATAAAGACAAGAAACAAGCACATCATTGAATAGCTGACAGAGTTGGTTCGACAATGCAACTGCAGCGTAATGGGGATGTGGAGAATTGGAATGTGGCAAAGTCTAAGAAGAGAATCCTGATCTTAAAAGCCACCTCTAGCCTCAACAGCATGACAAATGATTTCGGCAGTAAATTGAATTGAAACAATAATCATTTAAAAATAAATCACAACAATTGCAGTGAAATGCAGAAAAAAGGAAATTGGGTCACACCCAGGGGCCACAATTAACTTTGCGTTCACCTGCTCAACAACCTAAATTGCATTTTGTGCAGTCCCAGGATCAGGTGTGGCCTTCTGAAAAAAATCTTGCGGCTTGAAAAATAATGTTTCAGTCTCAACCAAATACACACCGGACCATTGCAAAATCTGGTCTGGATCCATAGGCACTGACACATTCTGTTAACTGTGGCCTTTTAATCTCCACATTGCTTCGCGACACATGTTGCGTGCGTGTGCGTGTTCGGCACAGCGGGGAGTGCAACCCACTGGGCCTGCCAGTCATTCTACCCTGATGACCCATAATAAATGGGTCCGTGTTGTCACCTCCCATCTTAAAGTGCACCTAGCTTGGCACAAACACCATGGCGGTGGCATCACTGTTTAGCAGTGAATCAAGCCACTTGCGGTGTTTGTTGTGTGTCCGTGTGTGCAATGCATTTTGTGCCAAGTTGTATGCATAGTGGGCTGAACCTGTTTGTTTATCCCAAGTGGGTTATACTTGGCTGCACTGTCACAATCAGCCAATTGTACAAGGGACTGGTTTAATACACATGCATATGATTATTATTTTGAAATGGCAATACCACTTATTTGCACTTAAATCAATGACATTGTTTGTATGTAAATGCTGCTCTATTCACCGTGACAGTTTGAAAATTATAATCTAGCAAATTTTGCGCGTGCTTCTTATATGTAGCATATGTCTAAATGTAAGGTTTCCATACATTTGTTTTGCATCATGTGCCACCTTGAAATCAGACGGACGAGCAACGCTTGGTACGATGGTAATTAACATAACTGCACAGGTGTCTAAAATCGTTTACGTTGGAATATCAGGCCAAAAAAGGTCATACTACCCCTTGTCTGCAGAGACGTCCTTCTGCTCCGCTCCCCCATTTCGCTATACCGATAAACTAAAAGAAAGTAGCTCACCAGGATAGTAAACCAGTCGATAAGAAGACAGATGGGACACAACACAGCAAGCCGCGAGCATGGCTAAATGCACACGCAATGGACCAATAACAATTCTGCTTCATCATCACTAAACAAATGATCCTGAGCTTATTAGCATTATATACCTTAAATGAATTAACACATAAATCACTACTTTGCAAATATGGGCTTTGAGGCATTATATCCACAACAAACGATTGTGTGGTCAATGAAATACACATTGATTGGCCTCATCTATACTTATTAAGCTTATGTAAAAATAAATCCTCATACATATGAAGCTCAGCCATAAAATCGAATTTTCTGTGATGTGTTGCAACTTTTACAAATAATTTGTAAACAATCCTTACCATGCACAATAATAGGAATAATTATAACGTTTTTATTTTTAATAGCTATACAAATATAAATTAAATCAGCTGTCAGGCATATTTAACTAGGATTTATTTAAATGCCACTTACAAGACATCACATTTTATGTAGCTTGAAGGCTTACATTACTGCACTTATTTCCAAAACTACATCTAAAAACATGGCTGCAATTACTTTTATAAGATATGGAAACATATGGTTATAAAATTGAGTACATGCCCCACACCATGATAATGAACAGATGTTCATTTAAATTAAAGCAGTAACACAGATATTCAGTCTTACACACTCATCTTATTCAAAACGGCTTGTAAGCGAAAACTTCAACGGCACTGTAATTTAACTCAAAATAAATGTCCTTCAATCGACAAGTTAAACATTCCGTAAAATATCCACTTCCCAGAATGGATAATTGCATGGTAAACGTGAGGATTGCTTAAGATGTATATATGCTTATACATAAAGATAATAATAACAGCGTACATGCAAACAAATAATATCACAGCACGTAGATATTGCCAGACAACACAACATAATGCTGTAAATAAGTGTACCTCAGGAAATTATTACAGGCGGATCAGGATTAAAATCATGAAATAAGGAGAAAAACAGCAGGCTGGAATGCTTTTGGAAAACTGAATTTGATAACGAACATCTGCATTCTGTGCCTGAATAAATATTTACAATCAGAGTTTATTCCTACAACATTCGGATAAGAAAAACGGATAGACAGCTGAAAAGTATATCACGAAGCGTGGAGATATGGATGCGTGGAATTACACCAAAGACAGGAAGAGGTACACAGACGAAGATGAGAGTAGACATGCAAATGAGAGACTTGACATTGACTGTTAAGGAATATCGGTGGGTTCGGGAAGGACAAATCGCTAGAAGGGATGGTCGAGACTAACGACAGTGTGGCAGCCAAAGAAAGTGACACATCTACAGAGGGCGATAAGATATTAAAAGTCACGGCCATGTTTAAGTTCATGAACTGTACAAACTCTGAATTTTATTTCAACTTTAAGACCGTTTCTAGTATTGACTGACATTATAAATCCACAATTACAGGTTTTCATGGTACCCCTAAGCACTCTCATGTTGATAAATTTATATCTTAATCTATTTTCCCCATTTGTATTCTTTGTATGTGGCTTTTAACTACCTCAAAAAACATGCTTGTGCAACCACTAAAAAGGACTGTTGATTCATCACTGTAGACGATAACGGGCAAATTGATGTAAGTAAAAAAAAATAGGAATGTCAAACTTTGCTTTATGGCTGTTGACATAGCCGGTGTATAAGTCCTTGTATGGAGCAATCAAGCCAATAGAGGTGCCCAAGTGTTTGCGTGCCACACGTATGCTGTTGACCCAAGCAGGGAAAGCCTTATCCTCATGTTTGACGTGTACTTGCCCCGCTTTTCATGCAGCGACAAAGGTAGCGTGTGCGCTTGGCTGGGTCCAAAGTTCCCCTCTTGGCAACTCATCGCTTTGCGTGCCCTTTAGTGGCATATCTCAAAGTGTGCCCCGAGATGCTTGCTGCTTTGGGCCCACATGCATGCATGCATATGGTTTGCGCAAGTTCTTTTTGTTAGATCACTGCGAAAGGTAAAGCCCACCGTGTGATTGTATCGATGATGTTAAATCGACCTTAAATTTGTAAGATTTTTTTATGCACCATCGACAGCACGACACATTTGTATGGCGAAATGTTATTGTGCCGTACGTGCACATTCTCATTAACGTAAACGGTAGCACTGGCGAGACTAATATGGCTGTAGCTCATGCTGGCCTCAACTACCAACCACTTGGTACTCTGTACTAACCACAATAGTGTTCACTAAACAGCACTTTCTCCAACAATCTTCAGACTAAATGTACAATCATGTTAATATCAGCCGTGGTATATCCTCTGCTGGATGAAAGCTATGTCATTGCCTATCTCTGACAGTCTTAGTGCCTTAATCCATATTAACTGTAGGCTGCTGCACAAGACGTTTACTAGAAACTCAAAAGTTGCTCAGCTAAATTATTCATATTATATCGAAGCACGAGAGTTGACCACTGATACTAAAAGCACCAGTTGGCTTTCTATTTTTAAGTAGAAGTGTGGAAAGCTATTTCTTTTTATATTAAAGACATATGGAATGTGCCCATTTCCTGAAGAGCTGTCTTTAAAAAACGTTCCTGCCTAAAATATTAGAATCAGAATATGTATTTATACTGCAGAAATCTAATGAGCTATATAAAGCCCTTTTTCACAGATGTCCAAATATACAAAACCAGGCCCATTATCCTTCACACAAAGCATACGAATTTTTTTCTGAAGGTGCAAAAAAATAATGGGTGTTATTTCATAAAAGCATAGTTAAAAGTGCATGGTCTGCTCGGCTCAACACGAGATAGACATTTCATTACTCTGAAGAGTGCATTTAAATTAATCCCAAAGTTCAAGTGCGCAACTGTGTTGAATTTGCCATGACGTCACAAAGGTAGGTGAAGCTGCTACGTGAAGCCGGCAAATGAGGCAGGGAACGTGCCACGTGGAATCGGGCAACACCATGCCTTTGTCAAAACGTTCGCACATGCTCGGTTACTGCAATCGTCCCTGCTACGCAGCTGTTAAGTAAAGGCAAGCTTTGAACACGTAGGCTTTAACGACCTATATTATCCATGAAGGTTTTTTGGGTTGCATCGTGTAAAAATATAAATGTCATTAAACCCGCCACCACCCAACACAGCCAGTTAGTAAGGTTTGTCAGAAACAAAACATGCCAATTTGTTCCTAGTCCAGCACACCAGTGTGTTGGAGAATAAACTCACAACATTTACAATTAGAGTATGACGTTTCGCGGGTGATTACAACCACCATCAGGCAATAGTCAGAATTATTATAAGGCAACATTGCAACCTAAGAATTTACGCAGACCCATGATGGAAAATCCCTCGACCCGCTCTTTTCCATTCCACTGACACAAAGTGACAGCCTCACGTGGGACATGGCAATGCAAGACACAAACATCGTGGTGGCACACCATATGATATACAGGAGCCAGGATTTGGGAGCTAAAGTGTACATTTCTTACTCTTTGGTTTGTTCGATCTGCTTAAATTCTGTTCATACATTTGTGGTGATATTTTTTAAGAGTATATGCATTACTTTTAGATTTCACGTTCCTTAACTGTTCTGGATGCTTACTTCACATCAATTCATCATATCTGTTCATTCTTGAACGAATGCTAATGATACACAAAATCTAGTAATACCTTTCTTTTTGAAGACCAGAAATAAAACAGGTGTAAATGGTGCAAATAAAACAAACCATAGTACCTATTTTTTAAATCACCATCAAAGGATTTGTTCATAAAGAAGCATCTGTTGTTTGGTTAATGTGCACAATATAACAACACTCATCCCAAAGTTACGAGTCAAATGTGTTGGGGTGTGCTGTAACCACTGACCCTGGCAGAGTCGTAGGAAGGGCTTGTCTGGCTGCCTGCAGCCCACGACCCTGGAGCTGTTCTCTCATCCATACCTGCAAAATACAACCGCAAGAGAAGACAATACATTAGATTCACGAGAATAATATTTCCCTTCGACTGTCAAGAGTGTATGTAGTTGGCATCATCTCAACCACACAAGATGTAGATGTATAGAAATAACATTAACCACTTTATAGTTGGAATTATAAAAAAAATTATGCATTTTTATTCAACAATGTCTTCAAAAAAGTTCATAAAACTATCCACAGATTAATTTTTCCAATTGTCCATTCCTGTTTTCATTTCCAAATGTATCAACAGTTATTTTTATAGTCACGTAATAAGTTGATTCCGGGAATGCACGAGAACGTGAAAATATTGAATCAAATTCAAGAACGTCCATAGAAGATGATGATTAAGATACCTTGAATGACTATTGAACTAACTATTTTACTACAACCACTAGATGGTGCTCCTTTACGCTGCAAAGAGACAAAAGCAACAGGTCTAAAACTACTAACTTTACAACCTCAGAATATGGGCAGGCTAAATAAGGTGTTATCAAATGTCCTAACTTTTAGTGATAAAGGTTGCTGGTATTTAAAAAATACTTGGGAGTTTTTGCGATCAAAGACAGGATTCGCATTGTCTGAATACACAACTATTTCTGTCTCCTCAGATAAACAATATTTAACCTAGGATTGTAAAGTGTGATAATCATTTCTGCCATTTGTCAATCCACTGCTGTTTGAAGGCTTCCCCACACCCTGTCACTCATAAGAGTCAGTGTGGGTTTGAAAGAGGAAGCCTAGTAGCAGCAGTTAAGCTATCACTCAACTTATGTTAGCCAGCCATGGCCAGGAATATAACTTTGGTCACTGGATTCATAAGGAAGTTGCTATCCATTGCAACACCACTCCCTTCCTTTGAAGGCATTGAACACTGAAATAATGATTGAGTACACTAAAATAACTGCACGAGAGAATTGTAACGGAAAATATTTGTGCAATTGAAAACTAATTCGGGTGGTTAAATTTAAAAGGCAGGCAGAATTTGTATTTGTGGAACTTCTTCGAGTAAACATATTTTTTCATAACCAGTAGTTATGGAAATGGTTGTAATACTTGACAAATCAAAGAATAGTTAACTTGGCGAAGCCACAATTACGTTATACAAGTATACTCATTGAAAAACACTAATGATTTACATTATTTTAGCAGTGTCAATGTTCTTAAATAAATGTTGACGTCTCCTACTTTTGCCTTTGTAATGAAAGCATTTAATTGGGAAGGCAAATGTTTAAATGCAGTTAAAATTATGCACCTTCCATGCAGCGTATGTGCTTATATGCACTTGCATAACTAACATTTCTGACATGTGCTGAATATATTTGAAACAGTCAAAATGATGACTTAAAGCTTTCGTGACTTAGAGGAATTCGAAACGTCGTAGTTTTTTGTTATTTTCCTTGAACCTATCTACGCGACTTTAGCGAAAGGCCCAAAGTCGTCGAAATTATGTTAATATTGGTTTACACTTCGATGCGCTGACGACACCATGGCATTGAAATCAATGGAGGAAAATAATTATACTATCATTTCAAGAAAGCTTGACTGCTGATGAGATGCTGTATGTCTAAACCTGTCCAGTTTGCTTGTACTGAATCAATTATGCTAAAATTATGCACTCTCTAACAAGAACACTGCGCCGACGGGCTGTGTAAGATACTTGTAAAAATTATTTTGTGGTAGGGCATGTATATAAAAGACAAATTGTCTGCTTGTCTGTTTTGACATGCATTCTCCATAACAGCTCTGATGATTTCGTGTTATGTAATATGTAATACAGTAATGCAAACAGTTTAGGATGATCGTGAACTTGTCAGTATTTCAAGGTCATCAAATTCTAACCTTTATTGTTTTTTCAATGACACGTCACGCATGATAGCTGTCTGGTAAAGGATGTACGACACTTGTCTGCTTTCTGGGTTGTTGTTTTTTTTAAGAGTTTAATCAAATACAGAAAGGAGCTTAGATATATCGACTCTTGCAAAAATATGGAAAATTGCCCATAGTAAATTATGTAAAATGTGTTTAATTTAGTTGATGGCTGTCAAGGACTTGAGAACACACTGACCACAATAATCTAGTCATCTGAATAGATTATAAACATTTTAATTATTTTATCAGGTTAGGCCCACTGAGCTATATAGCTCGTTTTCATAAGCGACCTGACCACAAATGATAGCTCAAGAAAGCGGCTTATCACGTGGAAATTTAAAGCAGCTAAATACTCTAAACGCATGCTGATTCTAAACGTGGAGGGAAAAACTAGAGGACGTAAAGAAAAATCCACGTGACCACGGGGAGACATGCAGGCATCAGAATCGGGATCGAATCCACGACATCCTGCACATCACGCAAGATAGTTAACATCTCGCCACTGTGGCAGCCACAATAACATCTACAGGATCAGTATGCAAACAGCTCATTTAGAAATACAATCATCGCTACAAATCCAGTTCCCTGCAGTTTCTCGTAAGTGGTTGCTATATCCTCCATGGTGGATGCAGTTGGTTCAGCAGCTTAGCTAGGCTTGACAGCTCAGGGCACCTATGGCTTCATATGTATTATCCCGGTTCTCTTGATAGTGTACTCTATATCTTCTTCTTGGTTCTTTCGGTAAAGTCACGCAGAAGGGAGATAATAAAATAATAAAAATAAAACATAATAAAATAATACAAGTCTCACGACGTTTCGGCCACAACGTGTACTCTATAGTTTTGTTTTTCACCATATGTTGTTATTTAAATATCAATAAGATAAACTTGTTAAAAAAGATATTGCCAATATCAGACAGCCAGAATGACAATTTGGCCAATTTCAAGTGGCAAAGATCACAATTTAAATCCACTGGCACCATCTTGGCAAGAATTCAGACAATAAAAGTCTCTGCTCCATTCATCCTGGCCAGGCATTGGAATTGGCAAGGACCATGCCCTTTACCAATCTAGGAAGACCAATGCTATGATAATTACTTTTAAATGATGATTCTGGAAATATCAGCGGGCATAGGGGTATAAGGGTCAATAGTAGCATTAGGATTTATACCACCCACCCATTATCAACAAGAATGGCCGTTAAAACATATTTAAATTAGGTTTTGTACCTGGGAAAAAACTTGCTTTGAGTCAATGTCATCATCCACAAGATTATTTTTATTCCTTATACTCTTGTCTGAACATCCATGAAGCCCTGCACCCCTTTAAGAGTCTATATATGGCAAATCCCACAAACAAATATATCCTTGGCCATTTATACAAGTGTATTAGTGTGCCTGGTAAAAAAACAATGGCAGTGGACAAAATTCTAAATGGACGGGTTAGTATCCTACCTAGGACACCTTTTATCCCTGCAGGTGTGTTTCTCACACAGGATTCAACTCTGCAAGGATTACCATCACCGTACCACCACACCTGGGCTGTTGATAACGTATGGTAACTAGAGATGTAAAATGACAACCGATTTCAAATAGCCGATAATAAATCAACAGCAGCAAAAGGTGTTGTGCAAAATCAGTCAACTGAAAACCACTCGTGACTGTCATAGCAGAGGGGGGGGGGTGCTCGGTGGGTGGGGTGACCGTTCAATGAGTCACGCGCGCATGGCGGTAAAGAGTGGAGAGAGCCTCCCCAGCAAATCCATAGCGGCTTCTCCTGCAGCCTGAGCTGTGTGTGCGCCCTCCCAGTGGCCAAAACAAGCCTTGCTCGCTCGTCCGGTGGTCCAAGCTGCTGCTGCTGCAGCGTACGCGGCAGGCTTCACAAAAACAATAGATGAAGTACAACAAAGGCTGAGGCAGCAGGCTTGATGTTTGTTTTGCAGGACGTGTTTATACACTCACAGCACAGTTTGAGATGGCCAAAGCAATCATCCCTCCAAGCTGATGGTACAGACTCGGTTCCCACCCCAATGGGTTCTGTTTGGCCTTCCTTCCCCAGTCGGCCTCCATAGCACATACACCCCCCCCCCACCTGCCAGCTAAAGCATATTTTAAGCATTTAAAGGAGGAAAAAAAACCTTCATCTAAGCACACCGTTTCCATGGAAACCTACATGATCTCAGATCTCCTACTAAAGGCCAACGACTTCATTTTTGGGGGGAGAAAAAGCAATTCTCAGGCAGCCAATATAACTCCTGGTCATAAACATTATTTGTAACCCCTAAAACCTAGCCACCATCAAAGAATATTCAAAGCTCAACATCTGCAATTTATAAGCCACCAATGACGTAGGGTTTCCCATCTGCCCCCATATCACCCCACTCTTGGATCCACTGTCAAATCTCAACATCTCACAACCCGACCAGAAGAGAAAGATCAACAAAGGAACCCACTGCTGTGGTATTAACTGCAATAGAAAGATAATAATGATGCATTTATATCAGCACCGAGTTATCAAGATACTTGCCACAGAGCCAGTATTCCCAGATTCGATGGTTCAGCTCCTCCCAACAACTGATCATTTCTACAGCGAGTTGTCTAAGCATGCCATCTGCTGCAAAGTAGATGTTTATAAATTTCGATTTAAAGCTTTCGAGACTGCAGGGATTCATCTTCTTGGTTCTTTCGGTAAAGTCACGTAGAAGGGAAGTAATAAAATAATAAAAATAAAACATAATAAAAATAATTCTCACGACGTTTCGGCCACAACGCAAGCAGCCGTCCTCAGGTGAAGACCAGGTCTGTCAGATGCTGTCTCCCCAACAGACCTGGTCAGCTGCTTGCGTTGTGGCCGAAACGTCGTGAGAATAGTTTTATTATGTTTTATTTGTATTATTTTATTACTTCCCTTCGACGTGACTTTACCGAAAGAACCAAGAAGATAGATGTTTATAGTCGAATCATGATTCACTAATGTAGGCGATTTTCTGATTCCATGCTGTCAATATAAAGCGCTGCGTGTTTGTGTATATAGTGCCAACAATTGAGAGTGGGGAACGGAGGTGATGCATCTGTCAGTCAACCTAGTGAACCCCCACAACGCCTGGGTCGGTCC